CCAGTCGCCCCCCTCGGCCTCCACCGCGTCCGCCCCCATTGCCCACGGGCACTCCAGGGACCCCTACCCCGACCCCCACCCCTGCTGCTGCTGCTGCAGCAGCTACTGCAGCGCCCGCGCTCTGAGACTGCAAGCGCAGGCGCACACGCGACCACCCCTTCGAAGTGTGGGAGGGAGGCATAGCGCGTGGCAGCGGCAGCCAATAGGGAGAGCATGGAGCCAGGCGCGTGGTGGCAGCACCTGAGGAGAACGCCACGCCGCGCCGCGCCGCGCCCCGCCCCGCGACTACGGGGTGGCGGGCCCAGCCCTTTGCTGCTGGCATCATGTTAGTGGAGGGAGCTGGGTCCTCCGGGGGTGCATATCCCAGCGCGGCAGTGGGGCGCTCTGCTGGTGGCCCACGCATGGCCGTCTCCTGTCGCACAGCGGTCTGAATTTGAATTGCACTTCGACTCCACACACACCTTCCTGGGGCTGCTTGACCCCCGCAGTCTTTCGTGCACAGAGCAGGGGGGCTGGACCTGATGATCTCACGAGGCCCCTTCCAGTTCTGTGACTCTTGGAGGGGTCTGCAAAAAAAAAAAAACGGGGCTGCCCATCATGATGCCCTAATAAAAGTGAAGACCCCCTCAGACTTATTTTCAAACCTTACAGGGGGCTCTTGTCTCTCATGGGGGTGGGGGCTCAGCCTGCAATTCAAACCCTTGGGGCCAGCCCATTTGGTAGAGGCACGAGTTAGGGTCATGCCCTCCCTGAGTGCTGCTCTGAGCCCCTTCCCCTGCTGCTCTGCTTTCTGCCCCCTGCTGCTGTGGTGCCTGGCTGCAGTGGCCCTTGTGTGGGGCAAGGGCTCTTTAGTCAGACCAGAGGAGGGCAGCCCTGTGTTAGAAAGCTTGTCTAAGTATCCCAGCTATGCTGCTGGTGCAGGAAAAAATGTCCATGACTAAGGAATCCTTGCCTCTCGTGTCATTATTGGACCATCACAGCTACAACATGGCTCTTATGCTATCATGCCACTTGGGGCATTTGTGCCTCAGGCTGGCTACCTCTAATCTGTAGCAGGGGACAGATGAGTCCCAAGAGGGGCAGTAGAACAGGAGGGACCAGACCTCAGGCCTTGCCCCTGAAGCTGCCTTGCCCTGAGAAGGAGCCTATAGTGATAGATGGAGGTCATTGGCCTTGGTGAGACCACAGCTGAAGTACTGCGTCCAGTTTTGGGCTCCACAATTCAAAAAGGATGTGGAGAAGCTTGAGAGAGTCCAGAAAAGAGCCATGTGCATGATCAGAGGTCAGGAAAACAGACCTTACGATGACAGGCTGAGAGCCACGGGGCTCTTTAGCTTGGAAAAGCGCAGGCTCAGGGGTGATCTGATGGCCACCTATAAGTTTATCGGGGTGCTCATCAGGATCTGGGGGAACGTTTGTTCACCAGAGCGCCCCAAGGGATGCCGAGGTTGAACGGTCATAAACTACTGCAAGACCATTTCAGGCTGGACATAAGGAAGAATTTCTTTACTATCCGAGCCCCCAAGGTCTGGAACAGCCTGCCATCGGAGGTGGATCCGATGACCCCAGCTGACTTCCTGCCCTTCAGGCAGGAGGCTGGACTTGTTGATCTTCCGAGGTCCCTTCCAGCCCTAATGTCTATGAAATCTATGGATGCCTTTGTCCTCCCAGAAACTCTGGGCATGCTAATGCCTTGAAGGGAAGATTAGAAGAAGGGTTAACAGTTCTTTCTGTGACTGCCAGCACCCCACATCCCTCCCTCCTGTCTATGCCTCTTGATCATTCTCATTGCCATCTGCCCTTATGGGAAATTGGCTTCTTGGTTCTTGAAAGCAAAGAGAGTTGTGATTGCCATCTATGCTAGGAGTCCCTTGGATGCTCTGTGGAAGCCCTGAGGGCCATTTTGACTGAGGGAAATTCAATTTCAGCCCAATTGGCAGTAATGAAATTTCTACTAAAAAAGTCATAGTTTGATGCCAGCTGAGTTTTTGTTGTTTTTTTTTTTTAAATACATCTTCCAGTTCCTGCCCCTGCCCCGCTTTTAGCAAGATTCAGGAACACTTTCACTAGGAATCTTAACCTATAAGGGGAACTGCAGCTGAGTAAGAAAAGGAAAAGTAGCCAACTTCTCTACCTTCCAAGAAACTCTCCTGGGGAGAGGGAGTGGAGCCTTTCTAGGGCCCAGAGAAGAAGTGACAGTTTAGGTTGCACCTGAACACAGTATTGGTCCCACATTGGAACATCTCAAATAGGTTTTTTGCTTCAGTCCCAGCTGCCTTGTCTGCTCAGACACCTCTGTGAGCTTATCTAAGTGGCAGAAAAGGCATTTCTAGAATTCAGGCAATTAACCAACTTTCTAAATTGGATGATCACTGTCCGCACTAGATGCTAAGTGACATTTTCATAGATTTCATAGACATTAGGGCTGGAAGGGACGTCGCAAGATCATTGGGTCCAGCCCCCTGCCCAAGGGGCAAGAAGGCAACTGTGGTCAGATGATCCCAGAACAATAAGCATCCAAGTGTTTCTTGAAAGTGTCCAGAGTAGATGCTTGCACCACCTCTGGGGGGAGTCTATTCTAGGCCCTGGGGACCCAGACAGTAAAAAAGTTTTTCCTTAAGTCCAACCTAAAATGGTTTTCTCCGAGTTTGTGACCACTGGCCCTTGTCTTCCCTTGGTGTGCCCTGGTGAACAGATGTTCTCCCAGTTCCTAATGCATACTCCACATGTACTTATAGGCTCCACCAAGTCACTCCTGAGCCTATGCTTTTCCAAGCCAAAGAGTCCCAGGGCTCTCAGCCTTTCCTCACAAGGCCTGCTCTCTTATCCTCTAATCATGCGTGTGGCTCCCTTCTAGACTGTTTCAAGCTTCTCCTCATTCTTTCTGAATTGCACAGCCCAGAATTGGATGCAGTATTCCAGTTGTGGCCTCACCAAGGCCAAATAAGCAGGAGAATGACTTCCTGAGTCTTGCTGAGATGCATCAGTAGATGCAACCCAGAGTTTTGTTTGCTTTGCCGGCTGCAGCATCACACTGGTGGCTCATGTTTATCTTGTGGTCAATCATGACTCCACATCCTTTTCAGTGGTGGTGCTAGCAAGTGTAGCACGAACGAGCCTATAAATATGATGCGGGTTTTTTCTCCTGAGGTGAAGCACCTTGCATTTCTCCATGTTGAATGCCATCAGGTTTTGATCCGCCCACCTTGCAAGCCTGTCAAGGTCAGCCTGAATTGCCAGCCTATCTTCTAGTGTAACCACAGTTCCCCATAATTTGGTGTCATCAGCGAACTTAGCCAGTCCACTTCTGACACCAGAGTCCAGATCATTTATAAATACGTTAAAGAGTGCAGGTCTGAGAATGGAGCCCTGGGGGATCCCGCTGGTCACCATGCATCATGCTGACTCAGTTCCACTATCACTCTCTGGATCCGACCACAGAGCCAGTTCCCCAGCCATCAGACCATAAGGTTGTTGAGGCCGCAGTGCCCCAATTTTACCACGAGGACATCATGGGACACCAGGTCAAAGTCTTTTTTGAAGTCCAAATATATGACATCAACCTCTTTTCCTTTGTCCAGGTAATGTGTCACCTGGTCATAGATGCAAATAAGATTGGTCAGGCAGGACCTATCTGCAATGAAGCCATGTTGGCTATCTCACAGAATGTTGCCTTCTGTTATCCTGTTGTTAATGGTTTCTTTGATGATTTTTCCAATATCTTTCCAGGGATTGAGGTCAAATTAATTGGCCTGTAGTTTCCTAAATCTTCCTTCCTCCCTTTCTTGAAGATAGGCAACACGTTGGCTCTCTTCCAACCTTCAGGTACCTCACCCGAGCACCACAAGTTGTCAAATATCCTCACCATTGGCTGTGATATGATGTCAGGCAGTTCCTTTAGCACTCTTGGGTACATTCCATCTGGGACAGCTGATTTGTAGATGTTCAGCCTCTCAAGGTGTTCCCTCACAAGATCTACACCAATGATATGTGTATGTTTGCCCTCACCCTGGTAATCCTGCATCTTGTCAGGCAGGGTGATCTCCTTGGGCTGGTGGAAGACTGATGCAAAGTAATTGTTAAGGAGATTGGCTTTTTCTGGGGTGTTGCTTATCAGCTGCCTCATTTGGTTTAGTAAGGGTCCAATGTTGCCCTTAGTTTCATAGTTTCATAGTTTGTAGGGTTGGAAGGGACCTGAGCAGATCATCAAGTCCGACCCCCTGCCTTGGCATGAAAAAGTACTGGGGTCAAACGACCCCAGCAAGGTATTCATCTAGCCTCGTCTTAAAGACTCCCAGGGTAGGAGCCAACACCACTTCGCTTGGAAGTTGGGTCCAGATTCTAGCCACCCCAACAGTGAAGTAGTGCCTCCTGATGTCTAGTAAGTTGTTTTTTTCTGACTTCCCACACATCTGAAGAAGGACTTTTTAGTGTCCTTGATTCCTGTAGCCAGTCTGAGTTTGGTTTCAGCCTTGGCTTTCTTAGTTCACTCCCTCCAAGTGCAGGCCAGTGTTGAATACTCCTCCCTAGTGGTGTTTCCTGCCTTCTATCCTTTATTATCATTTTTTTTAGGTACAGGAGGTCCATGAGTTCACTATTGAGCCAAGGAGATCACCCAGCCATTTTGCTCCCTTTCCTATGGGCTGGAATGGATTTCCCATGTGCTTCAAAGATTGCGTCAAGGAGCGACCACTCATCATGGACTCCCTTCCCTGTCAGATCAGGGCCTCTCAGGGCCTCAACAACTATCCTCCTGAGCTTGTGAAAGTTGGCTTTCCTAAAGTTGAGGATTTCTGCATTGCTGACTGATTTACCAGATTTGTGACGGATAAATAAAGTGATCAACTCAT